AATGGCAGCTGTCTCCCAATCTTAAGTCTGGGACTAGCAACCATTACCAGTGTGTGCACTTTTTGCTCCAATATAAATTCAGCTAATGCTCTGTAAGCAGGGGAGAGAGTCCATGAATACTCCCAATCCCAGCCACAGAAGCTTCAGGTAGAACAGTGAGAATGGGAGAGGTGCTCTATGCTGTCCCCACCCCCAGTTCCTGCAGGGGTCTATTTGCAGGTTCTAAGTGGGGAATTAGTTGTGTATTACATTCCCTTGTTTAAGGAAGGGCTGGAACATTTAAAGGAATTTTGTGCCTACCTCTTTTATAGACAAATTTTATAGGCAAATTTCAGAATTTGGAGGGTATCCATTGACGTTTGCAGATTGTTGTAATCCAGGACAAAGAATTGCACAGGGATACATACTAAGTTAATAGAAGTAGGGGCAGTTTATTAGGAAGCTGGGGGAATGCACATGCTGAAAAGCACTGGGCTAAAGACTCAGGAAGCTAAAAGTCATTTATATAGCACCCACTTATCCCATGTTTGTATAGCCCAAAGAGCTCTTGTATAGAGTCCATATCTGAAGGGTTTCCAGTACTCTGCCAACTGCCTTCTTTCATATGTTTATTTTGAAATATATATCTTATCCCTAATTATGTGTGTATATGCATTTGAGTGTGCATGCAGATACCTGCGGAGAGTCTTCAGATATCCCTGGTGCCAGAGTTACAGGCACTTGTGAACTACACTGTGGTTGTTGGGTGAAACCCCCTTTCAAAATAAATAAAATAAAATGAAATAATATTACTGATTACTTTGACTTCAGATTTTTGGCACTCTTTTTTTATATATAAATATTATTTAAATTAGAGACAATCTTATTTTATATATCAATCCTAGTTCCCTCTCCCTCCTGTCCTCCCTGTCCCCCATGGACCCCTCATCCCACCCCCCATTTACTCCCCAGGGAAGGTGAGGCCTTCCATGAGGGGTCATCAAAGTCTGTCATGTCATTTGGGACAGGGCCTAGGTCCTCCCTCATGTATATAGGCTAAGAGAGTATCCTTCCATGGGGAATGGGCTCCCAAAGTCTGTTCCTGCACTAGGGATAAATACTGGTTTCACTACCAGAGGCCCTATAGATTGCCCAGGCTTCCTAGCTGACACCCATGTCACCCCATAGGGGGTCCTATGTTGGTTCCCCAGCTGTCAGACCAGGGTCCGTGAGCTCCCACTTGTTCAATCAGCTGTTTCTGTAGGACCCAGCCCAATCTCTTATGAGTTTTGGCACTCTTTAGTGTCATACATCCTTGCATTATTTTTCTGGTTAAGAAAGATGCAACATAATTGTGGTCATGAAAATGGTCGTCAGTCTTATCAAGGTATTTTTAAGATCATGGGGTGCCTTAATAGGAGCTTCTATTGCTGTGAGAAAACATCACTAAAAGCTGCTTGATGAGAAAGGCTTTATTTCATCTTACACTTTGAGGTAACAGTCCTTCACTGAGAAATTAGGGCAGGAACTCTAATGGGAGATGTCATTCTATAAATATGTTTCTCTTATTGGTTAATGAATAAAGCACTGTTGGTCAATAGGAAAGCAAGATAGGCAGGACTAGGAGTCTAGGAGGAGAGAGGAAGTAGTAGGGAGGAGTTCCAAGATGGAGAATGGAGCGAGAAGAACACCAGCCCCTCTCTCTGGTAAGATAAGACCACCTGTAAGTACTTAGATTAATAGAAATGGGTTAATATTTAAGACAGAGCTAGCCCATAAGAAACTAGTAACTGGCCAACAGAATTATATATTAATACAGTGTCTCTGTGTTATTTGGAGCTGGTGCGGCAGTGGGACCAGAGTAGCTGGGAAAAAAAAAAAAAAAAAAACTCATAACAGAACTCAAGCAGGTCAAGACCCTGGAGGCAGGAGCTGAAGAAGGAGCCTTGGAGGAGCACTGCTTAGTGGCTTGCTCCTTGTAGCTTGCTTACCCTGCTTTTATAGTGACGAGGACCACCAGCCCAGACTTGCATCACTCACAGTGGGCTGGGTTCTCCCACATCAATCATAAATAAGGAAATCACCATAGACTTGTTTGCAGGCCAATCTTTGGAGTCATTTTTCTCAATTGAGGTTTCCTCTTTATAAATGACTCCAGCATGTGTCAACTTGACATAAATCTAACCAACACAATTGACCCCTTGTCATCTTGAGACACAAATGCATCACTCTTCAGCTAGAATGTTTTTCTCATTTGTCTTCAAGATGACATGTTAATATGACAAATAGAACATTCGAACTTTTAAAAGTTCCACGGTCTTTAAAAATTCAAACACCTTAAAAGTCCAATCTCTTTAAAATATTCAAAGTTCAGGCCTCCCTAAAACATTCAGTCTTTCTCAAACCTCTAAATCTCTATAAAACTCCAGTGTCTGAAGGAGGCTTCCAAACAGTCGTGGTTCCCCCTCGGAACTCCAGATTAAACACAAACCACACCCAAACACCTGTTTACACAGAGATCCTTTATTAAGCCTGGAAGGAAATCTTATAAATCAATAAGTAAGTTTTATAAATAAGATGATTTGCCTTTTATGCTTTTCTGTTTTGTTCTGAACAGGCTTTCTTTCCTTCCATCTTTCTCTTTTCCCTCCCTTATCTTACTCCCTTCTGTCCTCTTCCTCTCTCTTTTCCTCTTTCCTTTCCCATGTCTCTCTTTCTCCCTCCACCGTCCTAGGAATTGAACTGAGGACCTTGTGTTTGTACATGTTTTACCTTTTACTAAGTATGTAATTTTAAAATAATTCTTCCAGTTTGTTCACATGAAAATAAAAAGTAAACATCCCCTTCATTGGTGCTTTTTTTGTTAAAGAAAAATTATGTAACAGTAAGTAGTGAGTGCAATAGCATTTAAAAACTGATATTTTAGTCTGAAACCATGATTAATGATTATTATCTTTTAAGTCACCTGCCACTGGGTTCAATTTTGCATATTCATCATCTACCCATATGCACTTACATCCATTACCTAATTGCAATGGAAGTCCATGTTCATCTTTGTGTGGGTCTGTATGTTTTGTATGTATTTGTGTGTATTCATTGTGTAGTGTACACATGTGCATGTGAAGGCCAGAGGTTGACTCCAGATGTCTTCTTTGTCACTCTTGACCTTAATTTTTGAGACTGATTCCTCATTGGAGTTGGAGATCATGGATTTAGCTAGAATGGCTGGCGGTCAGCTCTGAGGATCTGCCTGTCACCACCAAGCCTGCACTGTTGCACACACTGCCACACCCATCTTTTTACCTGGCTTCTTGAGGATTCCATGCCAGGTCCTCATGTTTATGTGGCCACTACTTTACCAGCTGAGACTTCTTCCCCAATAGTTACATGTAATGTAACATTATCTTTACTAGTAGAGATTATATACATAAAAACAAAAATATTATTTGCTCATTGTCTTTTTTCCCTAAGCAACACAGTCTTTAGGCTCCTCATTCATGCTTAAAAAGCTGTGATCCTTTGCATCTGCTGTTTCTCTCTTAGAAGATGAACTTCACTGGGAATGCATAGTTTCCCCAAATTTTAATACCTTTTAATTAGCAGTGGACTCATTGTTCTTTCCCAACTGACAAGCTTTCCTTACATTTGCATTTATGTTCAGCTGTGGCAGTGGACAGAACTAGGCTTTTGCTTCCTCTATAGCTGAGGACAGTTGTTCTGATGATGAGTGTATGTTTGCAAAGGTCTCCATTCTTTATGATGGTGCTATGCCACTTGGTATCATTATTAAGACCCTTTCGAAAATATCTTATCTTGGAGCATATTTTTCAAATTTCTATTTGCTTGAGAGGAGTGGCAGGCATGCATACTGCCCCCTGTGGAGGTCAGAGGACAACCAATAAGTTTTTCCTTTCCCCATTCCATAGATCAAACTCAGGTTAAGCTTAATGGCAAGCATCCTTACCTGCTGAGACATCTCTCAGCTCTAGTCTGACTTTAAATTAACATATTGGACATAGTAATTTTATGATCATAAACTACTTATTCTTATTTAAAAATAGACTTTTAATGTATGTCAACATGATTCATCTAACCTTAGTAAATGGTAAGTTAATTTTTGTACTTTTTTTAAAAAACTGTGTGGTGTGTATTATGTGAATCTAGAGATGAGTTAATTATGACTGAGATGTTATGATTTCTGAGTGCTTTTAGCAAGAATGGAGATAGTACTTAGTCTGATGGCTGATGGTTTGGGTGTCTTCCTTTCACATAGTAGCTGAGAAAGTGCACAGTCAAGTGCCCAATTTTCTGTACTCACTTTGTGGCAAATAATCATGATTATTGTGATTCTGTAGCTTTTGAGCAGCATGCTCTTCTGATGCCTTGGAATAGTTTCCATTACTGAGAAACATTAGTGAGTTTTGCTTATATTTAAGATAGTAATACAAGAGAACAGGAATTTTAAAAATGCTAGTATGAAACATAGCTGAATATAGAGTGGATGGCTCTGGGGTGTGTGAACCCCTGAAACATAGATGGGTATGTATAGAATGGATGTCTCTGGGGTGTGTGCACTACTGAAACATAGCTGAATAGCTTTGGGATGTGTGATCCTTATCTTTATTGCTTGATGCTTTTGAAGTATGATCATTCCACAGATATTGTGCACTAAGTATTAGGATAAGTAATGTGGTTTAGACTTAAGAACCTTTAGCAAGATCTATTTCTCATTGTTAGAAATCACTGGGCTTCTAATCACTCTGCGAGTGTTAAAGGTATGCAGTTGCTAGGCCTGGTTGGTGCACGCACCACATTGTTGGGTGGAATGGTTTCTTAGAGGGCAGGGCAGCATGTAGGGCTCTTATCTGCTTGTTAAGACTCTTGTCTGCTCTTTTCTTACTGAAATATTTTACCAGGAATGAATTATATTGTTGGTTATTGCATCATTATTTATTTAGAAAATTTCATCATTTATCTGGGTGAAAATTACTTAATTTCATGAGTTTTCATTTTTCTTTTAGGCTCAGTTTATGAACCTCTTAAAAGCATTAATCTTCCAAGACCTGATAATGAGACTCTATGGGATAAATTGGATCATTATTACAGAATTGGTAAGCACCACCTGAGGAATCATAGTAGCTATGACTAGTACTCACTATTCTACATTTATATGTCATATATTATATTGAGATATTATTCTATAATTTGGAGCTGGGGTAGTTTCATTGGTAAAGTAGCTATATATTCAAGTATTTACTTTTACACTGTGGGGACCAGTTCTTTACCACAAGAAAGATAATCAGTGTTCTGGGAAAGATTTGTTTAGTCTGAGAAAACAGTACCGAGTGTCATGGCCCAACCTGAGCTCAGCATTCAAGGGTGGAGAAAGGGAAATTGTGAATTTCAAACTAGCTGCATAATAAGACCTTAAGAAAATATAAACAAACAACAGCAAAAACAATGAAGTGTTGTTAATGTCATAGCTAGAGAAAGGCAGTTTTGTGGGAGTAGAATGAAAACTTTCTTCCAAGCACAATATAGCTGTTGCATTCTTGAACTTAAATGATATATGTAAGATTTAACCTAATAACACCCTGTGATAGAGTGGAGGGGCCTTATGGGATTTATACTTGGTTGCTATAGGAGACAAAGACATTTTCTCCAGTATATATCCACTGGTAAGGTGCTAAGGCTTCTGTAAGCAAATCTTTACTCTTGTAAGCAGCTTTAATGAAACTCATTGGATCACTAAATGATCAAGGGAGACATTAAGTAAGAGGAGGCTAGTTAAGAAAAGGTAATAGTGAATATGACCAAAATACAGTGTCTGTATACATCAAAATGTCATAATGAACCCATTATATGTAACTAATATGTACTATTATATTCTTTAAATGAAAAGAGATAGAAAAATAAAGAAGTTGTTATATCTCAATGTAGATATTTGGGGAGAGCAGTGTTATTTATACAGGACACTGTTTAGACAGAAAAAAGTTTCCTTTAGGAAATATGAAAATGCCGTGTAGGGTATCAGTTTTCTTAGCTTGGGACTCTGTCGAAGAGAGGAAAGCACTGATTTCAGACCCTTGCTGTGTCCACAGCTGTCCTTGCTACATAAAAATGAGATTTTACTTTAGAAATTTAAAAAGATCCCTAGCCTGTACAGTTCAGTAAATAAACTAACGTCTTTGGTACATCAGTCAGATGTAGGCCTCTGGCCTGTTTTGTGGTCTTCCTTCTTCCTCCCTAAATTGTGGATTATTTAGTTTTCTTAACCCAGAACTGGTGTTATGACTTAGGAAGCCAATGGTATCATGTATTATACATTTGCTTTAAGTTTTCTTAGTTAATTGATTTTGAGAAAAATATTATAGCCATATTTTTTGGTTAATCTTTTTTGGTTAATCTTTTCTTCCTTGTGTCGTGTCTGATGTTATTTTAATAAGGTTTGTATCATTTAGTAACATCAACTAACATAATTACAAACTTTTAATGCTCTAATTAGTTGAGTGCTTTCTTCAACTATAAAGATACCTTCATGCAGTGTGGATTTCCACTTGGCTGGGGTGACATGAAGTGGCTTAACATCTGTGAAATTTTTATGCTAAAGCTAACTTTAGAAACAATAAAACTTTCAAAAAAAAAAAAAAAAGATAGGATGAAGAAACCAAGGAAGGGTGGATTAAACATTAATTCTTTGTCGTTGTCTTCTTCTTTTTTAAAAATTTTTTTTATAGTTAAGTCAACAATGCTGATGTATCAAAGTCCAACTACAGGTCTCTTTCCTACTAAAACATGTGGTGGAGATCAGAAGTCCAAAGTCCATGAGAGCCTGTACTGTGCTGCGGGCGCCTGGGCTTTGGCTCTAGCATACAGGTGAGCTGTGTTTGTTCTCCTAGTATTATAGAATCAAGACATTAAAAGAACATTATAAAGCAAATTTTGATAAATTTGAGTATGGACTGTATATTATATAATACAGTATCAACTCTTAAGTGTCTTGAGTATAATTAATGGTGTTCATGGTTATGTAGGAGAATGGCCTTTATTTTCCCCCTACAGATACTTCTAATGATGTTTGTAGCTTTCAAATAGTGAAGAAAGTTTATACTTAGATATGAAATACAAGTCAAGGTAATTTAATGTTAATAGCTGGTGAATCTAGGCAAAGACTAAGTGGTTTACTTATTGTAGTATTCTTTTAAATTTTTTGTGCATTTGAAAGTTTTGAAACAACACAGGATCAGAAAATTATTTTAAAAGAGCATATGTAACACAGGGCCTAAAGTCAGATAGCAACCTTTCCCAAAGACCTCAGAAGAGAATTCGGTCTTCCATTCTGGGCACATTATCTATTCAGAATTGGGGGGGGGTGTTGCTGCCCACCAATCTGTGCTTGATATCAGGGAAGAAATAGGATACAGACAAATGCATGATATGCTTACTTTAGTGGCTACATTAAATAGGCTCAATGATATGCCAATAGTAAAGAATTTACATTTCTGACATTCAGTCCCCTACGTATATGAGAGTTACAAAAACAGAATTTAGTATACTGTATTTAAGGCGGCATAGATAGTTTTTGTCAAGTGGCAGTGATCTGCAGATATTTAAGTGAAACAATGAGCAGTGGTTATTTCTTCTACTCTTTAAGGTCATTCATAATTAAAAGACTTTTTTGGGGGTGGCGGAAAGAACATCTTAATCTAGTTTAATGATAAGATTTTAGCAATTATTTTTTAAAGCAAGCGAAGTAAAATATGATTAATTGATTTTTAAACTAAAACCTGAGAATCTGAAACTTGCCAGATTATAACATATGTGTCACTTGGGTGCATTCATGTTTGGGCAAGGGCCTCTTTATAGACTAATGTGCTTCCTGGGGCACAGCAAAGAATGCTTATGCCTACCTTGATTTCTGCTTCTTTGAATGCAACCAGAATTACATATCATAAAGAGGTAGCATGTCTGCATTTTTGTAACAGTGAATTTAAAATAATTGTGGATGATTTTTTTTTCTAATGTAGAAATAAGCTTTCAATTTTAGCTTATTTAGAATATAGATCATTTTAGAAGATTCCCTTTTAAAAAGAATTGACTCACCCCCATAAAGCAAGGAAAAACTGCACAATTTTTACCGTAAGGTTTTTTTTTTTTTTTTTTTAATTGCTTTCCTACATCTGCTGAGAAAATGAAACTTTACTAGCAGAATTAGTAGATGTTACCAGAACACAGGATTAGTCAGTAGTTAAATACTTAATTATCAAAAGCTCTACTCCCTTTTCAAATGCAATTCCAATTTGTTTCCTGAGTTATCTCTCTCACCCAGGCGCATTGATGATGACAAGGGAAGGACCCATGAGCTGGAGCACTCTGCTATAAAATGTATGAGAGGGATTCTCTACTGCTATATGCGTCAGGCCGATAAGGTAAAGCATGTGAACTGAAATTCTCGTATCGTTTAAAGGATTAATTTAACCAGCACTGCAGTAGCAGCTTCTCAAGAATATACATTGAAAAGATAAAGCCTTGTCCCAGGACAGTTCATGGGGTTTAACACAGCCTCTCCCTTCCCAGCCCAAGCCTTTGAAATCCTGAAACTGAGGTAGTACCTTCAGTGAGAGATGATTGAAAATTATTGTTTATACTTGAATTTGTGTTCCGGATTTGGTTTTTTTTTTTTTTTTTTTTTTTTTTTTCCCTATGATAAAGATCCAGATTCTCAGAAAGCTAACAAATACAAGTAGTTCCAAACAACTTATTATTTAAAAATATCCTGGTCAAAATTCATTTTGGATGTGTGAAATGCCATGACAAAGGGGAATTTATTCATCTGCATGCAAAGAGGCCAAGAATTACAGATTTAGCAGACAGAACTTTATGATATTATATGGGAATGAAAGAAACAATACACCTAGCATGATTTGTCTAAACTATGAAATTCTAGACAAATATAATACACTGTTCCCTTTACTTACCTACTATGTTGAGTCCCTAACTCCTAAGGCCATGTCCACATATATCCTTCAGTGTGTTGTGGGTTCCTAAGATGACATTAGGTATAATGAGTCTCCTAGGTTGCACCAAGGTCATAGTTTGTGGTTCATTACAGCAAAAGGAGACAGAGCATGGCTGAAGCAAGAGGCACCTGGTAGTGTGTAACAAACAAGGTACCAGCTTCCCAGGGCAGCACATGTTAGATGTCAAGGGAGCTCATTGGAGCTCTTTTTTTTCCCCTCAAGATTTATGAGTGTAGGTACCCTCTGCCCAACACCCAAATTTCAGACTTCCAATAGAAAATGTGGTGTGGCCTAAACTACATCAATTTTAGACAAGCAAGTCACTCTTAGGAGAGGGGCTAAGGGTAACACTTCTAAACATTTTTTTTCTGAGGTTGTTGGATGCAGGCTTACTGTGCCAACTCTTTTCAGGACAGTCGTCAAGGTAGTACACTGGCTTCTAATCTTACCAGTTGTGTCATTTGAGAAAAGTTGACTCCCATATGCTTTTGTTTTTGTTGATCTTTTGTCTGTGAAATATGAATCCCAGTAATACCTACTTCATACAGTTCCTATGAGGAGAATAAAATCGAGTATAAAAAGTACGTGGGTAACTGGTCCTCAAAGTATCAATGCTTCCCTTCTGCTACTAGACTGCACCTTTCACATGTGTTTCCAGCTTCTTCACTTGACCACAGACGTGTTTTCTATGTCATGCTCATATGACTATATTGTTTTAACATCTACTTGAAAAAAATTTCAAATGTGATTGCTGGTCTTTCTAAGATCTATCTTTGAAGTCATAACTTTTACAAATATTATATTTTGCCAACAGAATAATACAGAACCATTAGTTGGCAGAAAGAGTGTTCTTAATACCAGCTGAAAGGGAGGCATCCAACAAAAGGCATCTCTTGTCTACCAAGATCTGGTTTTGCAGATAATCATTGCAAAGATTGTTTGGATGCTAAAAGAAAATTCATGTTGTACTTTGGCTTGCTGAATTAAACTAGTATGACATTCATTAATTTGATGTAATTACGTTTAACTTTTTTAAGTATAATTGTACTGTTCATTTCCCAAGTATCTCTTCATGAATGCTGGGGGTCTTTATAAGGTCAACATTTCTCTTTAGGAAGTATTGCAAGAGCCATGAATTTCATGTGCATGCTAAACAAGGTGACAGATAACCCCCATCCCCTCTCTGTGGCATGATTAGCCAATAGGTAGTGGCACTTTCTAAATATTATTCACTTTTATCAAGTAGTTATCACAGTTATGTTTTCTTTTAAGTAGAGCTTGAGTTTAACTTAAACTATTTGAAATGCATCAAATTATAAAGAATTAATATTGCTTTCCATAGGTATAATTAATGTAGGCCATTAAAATAAATGGTGAGTTGGATCATTTTGAATTTTTATCTTGCTAAAATTAATTCCCTCCAGGAGACATTAAAAAATGCCCACATATCTCTAGAGTGCTAATGACAACCTGAACTACTGCACTGAAGTTTACTCTGGAGAGTCAGTGGGTTTATTAGGATGATTTATAGTGCATGGGTGAGGGGTTATGGGCAGGAGTATATGTGGCCTTAAAGCAGCTACACTGAAAGGTCTTCACCCAGAATGCATGGTGACCCACCCATAGCTACATAGATGGAACCTCCCCCTAGTGCTTTCTAGCCTATGTATTTTAGCTCTTTTCTGGTGGTGATCCCAGGATTCTCATTGTACCTATTCAAGTGATGGGCTGTCAACAGTCAGCAAGCTCAACTAGGATGATCTTTTGTAATCTGGCAAGCTAAACTCTCGAAGATAGTGGCAGATGGTGACTCAGAGAATAAATAGTCCTATACAGCATTGTCTGTACCACATATTGATCAGGGTTTCAAGTATTTTTATTGTCATAAGCTTTCTTGACTCATATTTATTTTTGCTGTAGGGAAGTGGAATTTATTACTGTAATCCCAATGGGGTGTGAGGGGCTGATTCAGAGATTGGATGTTATCCCTAGAGTAATGTCTGTTACCATTTGTTGTATGAACTCTTGTTGGAGAGATGTGAGAAATCATTTACTCCCCAGAAAGGGCATAAACAACAGAACAAAGTAGAGTTTTATCAAATCCAACTTGGCAAACCTATGAGTTTCTTATGCTTGCTTACATGAATGAAGGGTTACTTATATAGCATAGATGACTCAAAGCAGCCATACCACCAAAGAAAATGTCACGTTAGCATGTAAGATCACTTCCCTGGGCAGCAAAGATGGAATCTCCTCTTCAGTTAACTGTTAACCTTCCACTGTACATACTAGGCCACAGACCACATACACATAGATGTAGGGTTAAGAGACAGAGATCTATCTCAGTTGAGGGTTGATTAACCTCCACCTTAGAAGGAAAATCAACAGGATGCATCTTTCTAATCTTTTTTTTTTCTTTTTTCTTTCTTTCTTTCTTTTTTTTTTTTTTTTTTTTTTTTTTTTTTTTTGTAGCCCTAGTTGTCCTGGTACTCACTATATAGTTTGGGCTGGCCTTGAACTCATAGAGATCTGCCTGTCTCTGCCACCCAAGTGATGAGATTAAAGGTGTGCACTACCATGCCCAGTAACAGGCTGGGTTTTAAGGATCTCTTCCAGATAGCTACAACAGCTCTGATGAAGGGAGTTATTTTGGTTGTATGTATGTTTGTATGTATGTATATATACATATATTTCTGTGATAAAATATCCTGACAAAAATCCATTTGAGAGAAAAAAAAAAAAAGGTTTATTTGGCTGTCAATTCCAATTATAATCCATCATTTTGGGAATGTCAGGGCAGGAAGTCACCCAACATGTCACATCCCACCTATAGTCAACAGCATAAAGAATAAGCACGTCCTTGCTTGCCTGCTCCCACACAGCTTTTTCCCCATTATTGTGCTATTCAAGCCATCCTCTCCCCCTCCCCTGCCTCCCAGACTGTGGTGCTCCCCACAATGTGCTGAGTCTTCCTATTGGTAGAAATGAAGGCCATCCCCTACAGATATTCCCACAGGCCAACCTGATCTACGTAATTCATCAAAAAGACCGCACAAAGCTTTCTAGGTTTTTTTTCCCCACAATGTTAATACTAGGAGAAAAATACTCTAAGCATCACACCTCCTATTGCTTCTCTCCCGTCTGGGTGAGTCATTTTCTTCATGAGTCTATGGCAGGGTGAATATTGTGTTATTACTTGTGTGTGCCGAAACATATATGTGGAGGTCAGAAGGCAACTTGCTGATGTCAGTTCTTGTTTTCCACCAAATGGGTCTCAGGAACAGATTCAGGTTGCTTGGCAACAAGCATCTTCTTCTGTGGAGCTTTCACCTGCCTGTGAACGTGTGTCGTGTGTGTGTGTGTGTGTGTGTGTGTGTGTGTGTATTATGGTGCATGTGTAGAGGGCAGAAGACACGTGAAAGAAGTGAGTTCTCACTTTCCACTATGATTCTGGGTCAGGCTTGTTGGCAAGAACATTTCTAGGCCTTTAAATTATCTTTTCACCTTTTCTTACAACTAAAGCAAACACATTTGTGTGATAATGCTGTTTGGCCTCAAGCCTTATGTTCTTTTTCTTCTGAAATCTATTCAGAATCTGGAAAGTCTAAATTTATCTTCTTTCGGTGAGTCTCTGTGTGTGTGGAATATGCCTTCTGGCATTTTTGATGAAACATTAACTAAAAGATATTTTACATTTGTTAGGGAGTATGTGGCATTGTCCTTGATTTGTAGGATATGAAACAATATCTTTTTTGTGTGTGTTATTATTTTGTCTGGGCTATTATTTATTAATGTTTTGCTTCCTAACATTCCTTTTGCTCTTTGTCCTGCCTAGTTTTATGTCAGCTTGCCCCAAGCTAGCATCATTTGGGAAGAGGAACTGCAGTTGAGAAAGTGACCCCACTGTAGGGAAGTCTGTGGTGCATTTTCACAATTAGTGACTGATGTGGAGGACTTAGCCCATTCTGGGTGGGGTCATCCCTGGGCCCCTGGGTTCCATAAGAAAGCCAGCTAACTAAGCCACAGGGAGCAAGTGACTAAGCAGCATCCTCAATGGCCTCTGAGTTAGCTCCTGCCTCTAGGTCCCTGCCTTGACTTCCCTTTGACTGTGGTGTGGAAGTGTAAATGGAATGAACCCTCTCCTCCCCAACTGGGTTTTTGTCCTGGTGTTTGATCTCAGCATAGAAACCCAGCTGGGACAGCTCTTTTTGACTGTCCTTGTGGAGGTTGTACCTCGTGCATAATTTCATTTAAAACACTGTTGAGTTTCTAACCAGTGAGAAATCACTGAGATTTTGTAAAATTTGTTCTTCCAGAACACTGATAAAGATGGGATGTTTATTTTCCCTAAATGTGTGTTTTACAGCTATAAATTAAGAATGGATGACAAACTAACTATCTTAAATAAACTGTTTACTCACAGTGGGAAAAGTTTTCAGGAAAAATGTAAAATACAAGTAAAATAAATTCTGATATAGTTTAGAAAATGTGCTTCAATCGTTTCCTTGATCTTTACTTGACAAATGCTAGGTGGCCTATAAAATACTAATTAATGTATTTTGTTTCTTGACTGTTTTCAAGAGTGCATTTTGTTTGAAGTTGACATATAGCATATCTCATTAATTTTCAAAGCTTACAGAATTTGATTTTTTTTTTGAAATCTTAAATTACTTGTCTTTTAGCAGCTCTGAAATTCAAAGCTATTATATAACTCCCCATGTGAGCATCTTTAATCATTTAGCAGTTAGTTTTCTCTTGACAGAGTAGTTAGAAATAAAGCCTCCTGCTGGGTTCTTACAAGTCTTGAAGACAAATGACAAGCACCATCTTGTCAGTAGCAGCAGTGACTTCATTAACCTGACAAAACCTCATCCTGTTAGATCCCTGTTCAATGGTGTGCTGTTAGCTGTTGTCAGCTTGACACAGGTGGTATCACTTGGAAGGAGGGAATCACCTCCATCAGGTTGGCCTATGTTTAATGATTAATATGGTAGGGCCCAACCTACTGTGGGCAGTGTCACCCTTGGGCAAGTTGTGGAAAGCTAGCTGGTAAGCAGTACTTCCTTCATGGTCTCTGCTACATTTTTTCCTCATTTCCTGTTTGAGTCCCTGTCCTGATTTCTTTCAATGATGGATTGTAACCCATAAGCTGAAACCCAGTCAGTGTTTTATCACAGTAATAGAAGAGCAAACTAGGAAGAAATTAGGTACCAAAAAGCGGGATTATTGATGTGATGGACCTGACCATTTGGGAGAGCAGTGTGAAAGTGCCAGGAGCATTTGGCTGGGAAAGCCATCGAGTGCTTGGAGTTTAATAGGCTGTTCTTTGAGGGGCTGGAAGATAAAAGTATTGAGAGAAATTCAGGCTGTGGATACTTGGCTGGTGAGATCCCAGGGAAGTTTGAAAGTTTTTTGAAGACTCTACTGGGGCTGTTCCTTTGGTATATGTGAGTTAAGAGTTTGTGAAAGTGAAACATGGCATGCTTTACTAGGCCAATAGATGCTTGCTGCTGAGGCTGAAAACTCGGCTATGATTAATATGAGACTAGTCTCCTTGGGGGAAGTATTTCCTCAGGGTCAGGAATGTAGCAAACTAGGACAGTAGGCCATATTTTTGATTAGGAGTCTAGAATAATGTTCATTTCTTTGAGATAATAATCATGGCAGTAAGAAAGAGTGACTTTTGCTTGTGCAGTTCCAGGCTATTGCTTATGTTTTTATATGGAAACAGAATATCTACCTTCTCTGAGTCCCTCAGTTACTCTATAAATGGAAAATATGCATCCCAAATTATCTCCTCATTCTGTTGTTTTTTCATAGACTATTTTTTATTCTTTGACAATTTTGAACATATAAGTAGTATGTTCTGGTCATATCCATCCCAACATGTTCATCCCTACTTCATGCCTTCTACTTTAAAAAGTATTTATTTATTTATTTTATGTTTATGTACCAGGTGTTTGCCTAGTGCTCTTAGAGGCTAGAAGAGAGTATTGGATGCCTGGGGTTGGAGTTACAGATGGTTGTAAGCCAGATGTGTGATGGGGATTGAAGCCAGTGCTCTTAGCGGCTTAGCCATCTCTTCTCCTACCTTTCTCCCCTGCTTATTTTTGTAAACCTTTGAGTCCAATTTGTCTGCATGTTGGGATTTTGACTACTTTGCTGGCCAGAAATTTACATGCTACTTCTTGGCATGTAGATTTCTTAACTGACTCTATAAGTCTATGCAATTTAAATTAATTGTAGTTTGATTAGTCATTTGTAAAAAGTGGGTACCATTTTGGAGAAGTTAACTTCTAGAGTCATACAAGAGAGTGAGTAGAGAATCTTTCTTTATTCAAATTATTTCTACTACCAAAGTAGTAGACACCAAGTCATAATTTCTTTTGAGATATATATCATTCTGCTGTTTAATTCAGTCTCCTACCAGAAACTAGCTGGACTCAGTGTAGCTTCCAGAAGTTGGAGGCTCAGTAGTACTCTAAAACTGCCTCTGACTTCAGAGACCTCTAGAAAGTAGTGGGCCTCCCAGTTACCCACATCTGACTTCACTGTGAGTTTGAGTTCCTGTGAGTTTTCCTTGGGGTCAGTAGTTCATTTTAACAGTTTATGAAATGAACATTGGCATCAGTAAATGTTGTTCAAGTCCAATTGAGCAGGCCCTAAAAGGGGAAGGATGTTTCTGTCTTTGTAGTTATCTCTTATATTGTTTTTAGTATTTGTACTTTCTAATCTACAATAATTAAGAAAGGGGCATTGGCCCATAGTCCCAGGTACTCAAGGGAAAGGGATAGATCCCCTCAACTTGTTATTTGAGATTGGCCAACATAGCAAGAGACAGACAACTGTGGAAAAAAGAAAAACAAATGTTATGTAATTAGTAAATAAAAATGTGTTGTGTATCCTCACAGAATTGTTACCTTCGTAATTATGTCTGGTTGAGAAATGAAAATGTGTTTGCTGTACCATAATTAAAATGTGTTATCCTTAGAGAAAGCAATCAGATCTGAAATTTGGATACTTAACTGCATTATAATATAGTGTGAAGTATTTTCCCATTCACATGTCATGTTAAGCATTTCCAGGTAACTGTATAGTTGAGTACCATCACCGGGACCTTATTTTACATAAGAAACATGTATTTTACTCAAATCAAATAAGATTGCCTAGCAAGGTAGCTCAGCTCATCAGGTAAAGGTGCTTGCCATCAAGTGATGACTGATCTACAATCCTCAGGCCCCACATGATGGAAGGAGAGAACTCACTCCCACAAGTTGTCTTCTAACCTTCCATAACATGTGTGGCACATGTATACACACTGTCTTAGTCAGGGTTTTTACTGCTGTAAAGAGACACTATGGCCACAGCAACTCTTATAAAAGAAAACATTTAATTTGTGTGGCTTGTGTATAGTTCAGAGGTCTAGTCCATTATCATCATGGTGGAAAGCAAGGTTGCACACAGATAGATGTAGTGCTAGAGGAGCTGAGAGTTTTTACATATTGACCCACAGGCAACAGAAGTTGTCTAAGATACTGGGTATGGCCTAAGCATATATGAGACCTCAAAGTCCACCTCCACTATGACATACTTCCTCCAAGTCCGTACCTACTCCAACAAAGCTATATCTCCTAATAGTACCACTCCCTATGATCTTATGGGGGGCAATTACATTCAAATTTAGAGAGCCATGACAGGCTCCTCATATCCCAGTCAGGAACTAGGTCTCACTTTCAAGTCACCTTCACTGAATGAGCACTTTTTTTTTTTTGGTTGGGGGGAATCACAGCACAGAGGCAACAAATCAGAAAGAGTCTGTCACCTTATGCTAGCTAAAGATAGCTTTCCCCACCTTGCTGCTAGAAAGTCCCAAACCACTAAAAGCAGCAACCAATCCTGTAACAATCCATAAGTATCCTTAAAGCCCTCCTCACCCAAATTCATCCCTGCTCAGTGGTTAAAGAAGCCTGTGAGTTTCTCTCAGGTCGCCATTTCAGCGGACCCCTGCATGCTGGAATAAACTCTCTGGCTGATTGCATATGTGATTGGTAGTCTTTTCCTAACACACACACACACACACACACACACACACACACACACACACACACACACACACACACAATGTATTCATATACTCAGTAAATGAAATATTTAAAAGCTCAAGTAATATGCAAAGCATTCTATCAATTCTGCCATGCTCACATGCTCCCTACTTCATTCAAATTCAATGCTGTCAACTATCACTTGACAATTATGTTCACTCGGATAAGTTAGTTATTATGAACTTTATCACATTTTCTTAGAAAGGGTGATATTTCTATTTTGTCCATTCCCCAGCCCATAAGCTTTAGCTCTCTTTATAAGAAAAATTGCTTGAAAATAACTAACATTCTCAATTTTAGATGAGTATGTGAATGGCCATCATTCATGTTTTATATTTGATTGTAGGTTCAGCAGTTTAAGCAAGACCCACGGCCCACAACATGTCTTCATTCAATCTTCAATGTGCACACAGGAGATGAGTTGCTCACCTATGAAGAGTATGGCCATCTTCAGGTAAAAGAAAAATTAAAGATTTACTTTGCTGCCATTTACACTGCATATCATGGCAATTTTGAGGCTGCTTATACTTTTTAAAGTAAATTTTGTAACTTTAAAACAGTAGTGTAAGTGAATCCTGAAATGGGAAAGAAAGTTCACTGGTAACCGACAAGGCTGAAGGAACTGTTGCATGGAATGTTACCATAGACCATATTCATGAAGTGGTCAGATGGATTATTTTTCTTTAGAAGGTGGATACCTACTCTTCCTTCAGTAAGTGAAGCTTTTTTTATATATTTAAAAGAATTCATACACTTGGAAATAAAAGGCATCGACAGGCGTATAACAATTATTCAAAAGTTTTTGTTGGGCCACAGATCATTTTTAGTATATCAACCTTCACTAAGACTAAACATTTCTATGGGAATATCACTAATATTTTTTGAGACCTATCAGTTTTGTGTTGTGTTAAATATAAATATAAAATAAAAATATAAATATTTTTTCCTCAATAGATTTTCTTTTTGTTTACTTATGTATTTTGTTATTTTGTAATAAGGTACTTATTAATCACATTTTCCTTACTAAAAATAAGAGTTTTTCTTATGTGCAGGTATACTTGTCTGGACACACACACTTACATGTGTGCATGTACATACATCTATATATAGTACATGAGTGCAAATAGAGGCCAGGGACAACTTGCTTGGGCACCATCCAACTTGAGATAGGGTCTGTCATTGCTTTAGTGCTCCCTGATTAGGCTGGGTCAGCCAGCTAATGGGCCCTAGGGTTCTGTTAGCACTAGGCGTACAAGAGGGTGCCACCACATCAGCATGGGTTCTGGAGATCATTTTGTCCTCATTTTATGGCAAGCACTTTACCAGCTGAACTCTCTCTCTCCAGCTGAAGTCTCTGGTTTTTATAGTTTCCCCCACCTGTTGTAAATATTTTATTGAATTAATGAGTCAGTTGAGTAGCTTGTATTATTATTTCTACTTAGAAGAAACCTACCTTTAGAAACGAAAGTTTATTGGTAAATTTAGAAGTATTTAAAATTTTAGTGTTCTGTCTCTAAACACAGAAAATGCTACACATAACCCCATTTTTCTGTAGCAGAGACTTTGTGTTTGTTTGTTTTTAATGGTGATGCAGTTACATGTATTATTTGTAAACTGTTATATATTATTAAAACCAAAATATAAAATGTGTAACATTAACTTTTCTTTAAACAAATAAACTTTGGGTTAGTAAGATGGCTCAGTATGTAAAGGTACCTACCACCCAACCTGATGACCTGGGAGAGAACCAAGTCTGGAGATCTGACCTCCACTCATGAATTGTGGTATGTGTTCATGCATGTAGACAAACAGCTAAAATGTAGTAAAGTTTAAAACCTTAGGATTATTAAATTTATAAAAAGTCTTTAAAAGTCTCAAAGAGCTTATATCAAAAAAGAGTAGTCCTCTCAAAAAGTGTAATTAAAGTTTTTATTGTTGTTGTTGTTCACATTTGCCATTTTAATTCTTTGGGAGAATATGTATAATGAAAAATATTTTTAATTGGTAAGCACTTACTATATTCATGGGATACTGTATATAATTTTTATAAACAGATACAATGATTAGATCAAGACAATTGGCATATCTATTATCTCAGACATTTAAAATTTCATAGTGGGGCAGACATGCAAAGTATTTAACAGTTATTTTCAAATACTCTTTTTTTTTTTTTTTTGTCAACAGTAGCTAACCTGCTATGTTATTCTTCCTGCTCAATTATACCCATGTGCCAGCTAGCTATCCTCTCCGAGGAGCAGATGGCAGGCAGGGGGATAGGGGAAGCTGGAGGACAGGAGGGAGAGGGAACTGAGATTGCAATGTAATAAATAAATGAATAAAAAATTAAAGCAAAAGAAACACAAACTACATCTTACTTTCACTTTTTAACTCAGGTTCACATTATCCTGACATAATTTTGCTTAAATTTTATTCATGTAATAACAATTTTATTGAGATATAATTTGTATGCCATATAGTTTATCTATTGGAGGTGTACCCTTCTGTGTTTTTAGTATATTCTAAGTTGTACAACAATTACCACATGCAAATTTAGGACATTTCTTTACGCTCAAACTCTAAGCAAAATCAGCTACTCTCCATTTTCCCTGAAGTGCCCTAAGCAACCTGTAGTTTACTTTATGCTTATTCTTCATATTCCAAATTTAAATGCAATCATGTAAGATAGGATGTTGGAGAAACTTTTGTTTGATTCAAGATACATTCCCAAATGCGCTCCAGAATTAATGAACCAAGAGGGAGGGAGGGGAAGAAGGATAGACTTTATATGGACTTGAGATCAGTCTTGTATTACCATCCATTGGGAAAATTTGGGGAAATGGCTTCTATGAATTTTTGTTAATTTCTTTTGAGAAGTGAGGTCTTACTGTTATTCACACTGGCTACAACTCACTGTGTCTTCCAAATGGTGGAATTACTGGCATGAGCCCACGCTTGTCAGTTCATGTGATTATTGATGCTAAGTCCTACAACAGTCTACAGAAGGAATGTGAAGGATGCAAGTGGTAAAGTTCATTCCAAGTCTGAAAGTGTGGTTCTCAGTTAGAGGCTAAAGGACCAAAAGCTGGGAAATGATGTATGGTGTGTGAGCTCTAGAACCCCAAACTTAAGAAACTGAGTTTAACATTGAAGCCAGAAGAAGAGTATCCTAGCTCTGGCAAAAGTAAGCAAGAATTTGCACTTCCTCTGCCTTTTTGTTCCACATCCAGAGACAGTGTTCTTGTATCTAGTCAAGTTGACATTGAAAATTAATCATCACTCAAGATGTGTCCATATTGGAGATTGCACTTTCCTGCTTCATATATTCTACTATGAATCTTTTATGGTTAAATTAGAAAGCATTGTTTTTTGTTTAGATCAAATAAAGCATGCATTTAATATACTAATAGCTTCATGTATTCTTAACACTTTTTCATAAGTAGTTTTAAATTATATAGCATACCAGTGATTAAAGGTAACACATTCCTTTGTTTTCATAAATTCTGTTTTCTAATGAGACTGCTTTCAAGATGCACTCCTCATTGTTTATAGTGTATTGGTGGAGGTGTGATGTCTTGTTTCCCAAATAGGTTTTTCAACAAATGGATGGCATTATATTAGTTCCTCTGTAGCAAAACCATTCCAAAAAGAAGTATTTTAGACTTAGTATTTTAAAATTGAAAGAAAATAAATGTTACAGAAACCATGCTAAGAATTCTCTGTATAGCCTTCTCAGACCCAGTCATGTGTTAACCAGCACCATGAATTTGAAATTTTAGCACTTCATATAAAATGTTGGTTTTCTTGTTCTATATTGTGTTCAAATCTTTTATTTAGTGATAGGGAATAATTTATTTTTATCTGGCACTATTGGTGAAAATTGCAACATGTATATTTAATTTCATATAATATTTTCATTCTTTTCTATAACCTTTAACTGTTGCTGTTTGTTTCCAGATAAATGCAGTATCACTTTTTCTCCTTTACCTGGTGGAAATGATTTCTTCAGGTCTCCAGATAATCTATAACACGGATGAGGTATGATTTCCCCAAATTTTCTGTTATTGAACTTGAAGTAAAGGATATCTGGGTTTTCCTTTCTTTAAACTTTACTTTTAGTTTGATCATAAATACATTTTGGAAATTCATTTAGTTAGATATTAGATTTTGGATTAAATCTAAAATCAATTTTTACTAAAGTTACTTTTGTGTTAATTTTTTAGTGTATGAAATAATGGGTTCCATTATAACATATATATATATATATATATATATATATATATATATATATAGTATTTGACTCATATTACCTTAACACTTATCCCTTCTCCCTGCTTCCTCTTTCTTCCTATTAGTTTCTATTTCCTTTCTCTCTTCCTTTACACTTCATCCCTCTTCTTAGTCCATCTGTTACTTTTATGCATCATGTGTGTGCAAACACACACACAGAGCTTCCATATTTTTCTTAGTATTAACTATTGCTGTAACAAAACAGCATGACCACAAAACAAGTTGGGGAGGAAAGGGTTTATTTGGCCTACATGTCCATAGAACTGTTCATCATCAAAGGAAGTCAGAATAGGAATTCTAATAGGAATAGGACAGGAACCTGGAGGCAAGAGCTGATGCAGAGACCATGGAGGGTGCTACTTACTGGCTTGCTCCATATGGCTTGCTCAGCCTGTTTTATAATAGAAACCAGGACCACCAGCCCAGGGATGACTCCATGCATGATGGGCTGGACCCTCCCTCATCAACCACTAATTAAGAAAATGTGTCACAGCTAGAAAAAATGGAGGCACTTTTTCAATTAAGAGTCTTCCTTTCAGATAACTCTAGTTTGTGTGTCAGCCTGACAAAAAAACCAACCATCACAACATATGAGAGAAATTATGTGATGTTCATCTTCTGAGTCTGTTGTATTTGGCTTGATATACTGATCTCAAGTTCATACATTTTTCTACAATGAAAACGTGCCATTTAAAAGCAAGTATAATATAAAACAGGCAGCAGAACCTCAGGGACTATTCAGAAGACTTTGACTGCAGAAAGTTCTAGTAACAATGAAAGTAAAATCACTGTTACAGATTTTCTCAGTATTTCTTTCCCACGTTCCCTTTTACAACTCATCCCTTTAAAGGTCAAACAACAAATAAACATTTCATCATATCTTATTACTTTTACTTCTAGGGCCTTAGTGCTTCAATTTTTCCCCAAATCAAAAATGTTGTTCATATGCTCATTAGGAAAACTGTGAAGCATTTATGTTTCAGAGCTGTGACACTTCACTCTGAAAGACATCTATTTGAGAGTAAACACACTGGCACACCTGTTGACACAGAGATGCACTCTCAGTCTGTTCTCTGATTTCCTTCCTTGCCCTGCTCCTGCCTTTCCCTAGTAAACTCTTCCCACATTCCCAGCTTTCTCTCTGTGTGATTCTGGCTGTGACTAGTGCCATCTCTGTGACCAGAGATGATGGCTCTCCTTGCAGTCTTTCTGAAGCCAGTGGTTCAACATGAAGGGACAAGGTCCCATAAGTACCTCCCAACCATGACTGACTGTTGAGATGGCCGCTCTTGTTTGGGTCTGACACAAGAAACTGAAGCGCTTCATCATTGATTACTTTGGCTGTGCTGTGTCAAGGGGATGGGATTTCTCTACCAGTTTCCTATCTTTTACCTCTTGAATTCTTTCCCTTGCCTCTTCCACTTTGTTCCCTACCTGTGAGCAGAGGGATATATGAATGGCTTGTTTATAAATGAGCCCTTATTTGTCACTTATTCTCTGGTAGACCAGGCTGGTCTCCGACTCACAGAGATCAGCCTGCCTCTGTCTCTCAAGTGCTGGGATTAAAGGCATGTGTCACCACCACCCAGCTTATTCTCAGTATCTTTAGCAGCCATAAGTTTTTTTTTTTTTTAATTAACCACCATTCACTGCAAAGAGAGGCTAAATGTTTCTATTTATCTAAAGATAAATAAAAAACTGGGGCATACCTATGACTGTCTGAGAACTGGATTTTCAATTAGGATTATAGTACCAGGCATGGTTTCCCTTCCATGTGGGCCAGCGCTGAAATTTAATTTAAAAGACCAATTGGTTACCCCCATACCAGGATATGTCAAGCCTGGTAGGCTGATATTATAGTTCATAGAGTTTACTTCTGGGTTAGACCCTTGATGTCTTTTCTACCCTGGAAGTCTTCATAGTAATACCTCCCAACACTTTGATAGTTAGCTATCAGGGAGGAGATTTTCTTCAATTCTAGTTTGATTTCTCTGTGTCTTGCAACTAAGGTTATATGGTGTCACCAATAATAGGGTCTTATATAGGTCTGGCAGGCAACAGAAAAGCAAGGGCTGTATTTTATTGGGAACCTCTGGGGCCTCCCTGACCTATGAAGGTATCCCACACCATTTTCTGTGGTTTGCTTAATGTCTCACTGCTTCTAGGACCAGATTAACTAGTAATGCAAGGTATCTCTCCATGATGTATTTTCATAATTTTAAAATTGGTTAAGGAAATACTAGGTTTCCATATTTTTTAAGTATTACTTCATTTTGGTTAACCCCCTTCCCCATATCTTTATTCCCCCATCTTCCTAACCCATTCCCTGTTTAACCTTTCCATTCCCAATATTACTGTCTCTACTTTGATATTACCTATGATCTGTTGACTCCACAGATTTCTTCCTAACTGTCTTGCTTCCCCAGGCATCCACATCAGAAACACAGAACTAAAGAGCCCAGTATCTGCATATGAGAGAGTGCATGTGTAGTACCTGGCTTTTTTTTTTTTTTTTTCAAATTGGTTCCATTTATCTGAAATTATATAAGTTCATTTTTCTTTATAGCCATATAGAATTTCATTGTGCATGTGTACCACATTTTTATTATCCATTAATCAGTCTTAGCTATTGTGAATAGGGCATATTGAACATGGTTATACAAATGGCGTAGTAGAATAAGGACTTGTTTTCCTGTGTAACTAGGAGTGGTATAGCTGAGTCGAATAGCCATTTAACATCTGATTTCTTTTTGTAAGAAATCTTGAGATTTATTTTCAGTGTGGACTCACTAGCTTACAACTTCACCAACAGTCTAAAAGGGAGACCCTTCCTCACTGCTACATGATTATTTGTTCTGTATTCTTGATGATACCCACTTAGACTGAGGTGAGGCAGAATACTGCAGTGGCTTTGATGGCTAAGCATCAAAGTGGCTAAACACCTTTAGGAATGTTTCCTACCTATTCATTTTTTGTTTTTTGATTGTTTGTTTGTTTTTAAATAAATGTGCTTAATTCCAGTCTACTTTTTAATTGTGTTTTTTTCTTGATATTTCATATTTTGAGTTTCTTCTATATTCTAAATGCTAACACTCTGTCAGAAGTGGATTGGAAAAAGATTTTCTACCATTTCGTGGACTGCCTTTTTACTCAATCAGTGATCTCCTTTGCTATAAGTCTTTGTTGTTTCTTATCCATATGCAAATGCTGACTTGTTTCCTCTAGCAATTTCAGGTTATTGGGTCATATGTTGAGGTCCTCAATCCATTCAAAGTTGAATGGTGAGGGTCCAATTTCATTCTTCCATATGTACATATATGGTTTCCCAGTGTCATTTGTTGAAGAGGCTGTATTTTCTCCAATATGTATATTTTTAAAATTCAGATCTTCTAGTGTTCATGTGTCTGTTTTGTGACATTTCCATTTTGCCTTTATTACTGTGGTTCTGTAAGTAAGCTATGGTAACTCCCCACCCCCAAGGATATTTTGGCTATCTAGATTGCTTTGGCTATTTAGAGTCTCTTTATTAACACATGACACAGTCATGCAACATGAGTGTGATTGTATTGCATATACAGGTTGCTTCTGGTGTGATTGTAGTTTTTACAATATTAATCCTAATTCACGATCAAAGGTGTTATTTCCATTTATCAGTGTCTTCTTCAATTTCTTTTATCACTATTTTAATAGTTTTCATTGTAGAGATTGTTCAGTTCCTTGGTTGGGTTTGTTCTAAGGTTCAATGGCTTATTTACTCAATTTTAAGCTATTATAAATGTAAATGTTTGATTTCTTTTTCAATATGTTTGTCATTGATCAAGCTACTGTTGTTTTGTTAATTTATAACTAACCCTTTGCTGAAAGTGCTTGTCAGTTCTAAGAATTTTTAGTTGCGCCTTTAATGTTCCTTATATGAGGTATTATGCAAATAAGTAAAGACTGACTTCTTTTCTTATTTGCATCTCCTTCTCCCCTTCTCTTGCTTTTTGTTCTTGTTAAGCTTTCTGTCACTACACTGAATATACTGAAGAGTAGACACCTTTATGTTCTTTGTCTTAGGAAAAATGCCTTGAGTTTTTCTCCACTTAGTGTGATGTTAGTTATAGGTTTGTAATGTAAAGCCTTTATTAGGTTGAAATACCCGTTATCCACCCCTGACCTTTCATTACTTTTTGTTTTTTTTTTAAATCATGAAGGAGTGTTGAGTTTTGTAAATGGCCTTTTCTGTGTTTATGGAGGTGATTCTGTAATAAATGAACTCATTTATATGGTAACTTTCATTTATTTATTGGCTATGTTGAACCAAGCCTGTGAAATGATGCCAACTTGGTTTTGATAAATGATTTTTTATATGATTTTAAATTTGGTTTCTAAATATTTTATTAAGAATTTTTGCATCAATATTCATTAGGGAAATATGTCTGTAATTTTATTTTCATTGTGTTTGTCTTTTGTCTTGATATTGGCTTTGTGTAAAAGAGTTTGAAGTAAATCCTACCTTCTCTATTTTGTGGAATAATTTAAATAGTGTTTGTGTTAGTTCTACAATGAATCTATCTAGTCCTGGGTGGGTTTTTCCTTTCCTTGGTGGGGGAGGGCTATGACACTTTTTATTACTTCAGTTTTGTTGTTGGTTATAGATTTTTAAATTGTTTCATCTTTTGGTTGTTGTAGATATCAAACATTCATCCATTTGTTTTTGATTTCCAGTTTAATGAAATACAAGTTTTTAAGTTATGACATTTTTA